CCCTGGTGTTTCAGTGGAGAGTGAACTCTAGCCCGGGTTCTCTGCTGCCTCCCTCCATGCTGCTGTGGACCGGTGAGGTAGAACTTTGATCTCCCCACCGGCGCATGGAGGCTTAGACCAGAGCTGCCGCTCGGATAGCGTCGGCTCTGCATGAGCCGACCGGGGAGATCCAGAGATCTCCACTGCTGGTCTCAATCCATTGGCGTGCCGCGGGGATTAGGGTGTGCCCATGCACACCCGACACACCCTGTGCGCACACCTATGGAAGTGAGGGATGGGGGAAGACAGCCTACATGAAGAGTCAGCAAGGAGCAGGAAGGTAAAGTAAGAAAAGGAGAAGAAACAGAAAAGAGCAGGAAGGGACATCAAGGAGCAGAAAGGGGCAGCAAGGAGCTGGAAGGGACAGCAAGGAGCACAAAAGGTAAAGTAGGAGAAGGAGCACAAAGGAACAGAAATGAACAGGAAGGGTCAGCAAGGAGCTGGAAGGTAAAGCAGAACAAAGGTAAAGTAAAAGGATCAGAAAGGGACAGAAATGAGCTGGAAGGGGCAGAAGGAGCACAAACGTAAAATAGGAGAATGAGCAGGAAGGGCCTGCAAGGAGCAGGAAGGGCCTGCAAGGAGCAGGAAGGAGCACAAAGGTAAAGGAGCAGAAAGAATCAGAAGGAGCACAAAGGTAAAGTAGGAGAAGGAGCATAAAGGGACAGGAAGGAGCACAAAGATAAAGTAGAAAAGGGAGCAGAAAGGGTCTGCAAGGAGCAGAAAGGGATCAGAATGAGAAAGGAGCAGAAGGGTGCAAATTAAGCAGAAAGTAGCAGAAAGGTAAAATAGCAGAAGGGGCCAAGGATAGAAAACAGTGTCAGAAGATAAAAAAAAAAAAGACTGTCAAATGAAGGAGAGGAAAAGGAGATTGGAGCAGGAAGGACAAATGAAGTGAACCCTCCACTTTATTCTGGACACCACATCATAAGGCTTTGGTACCTGGGCCAGGCAGGGAAACGCTGGACCTTCTCATCTCCAAAGGTAAAAAAATATCAGTATTAATGTGTTCACTTTTATTTATTGAGTGTCAGGAAGCACAGAGTGCCATTGGGTAGGGGTGTTGCTGATTGGCTAGAGCGGTCAGCTGGCACTCTAAGCCAATCAGTAGCTCCCCATTCATAAAAAAGTAAAAATATTTTATGAATCGGGAACTAGCGATTGGCTTAGAGCGTCAACTGTCCACTCTAGCCAATCAGCGGCACCCATGCCTGACGTCAATCTGCACTTCCTGACACTCTGTTTCAGAAGCCAAATACCACTGAGCGACCTGGAGCTGGAGAAAGCCTTTGGGGTTAAACCATTTGAGAGCGATTTAACCCCTTAAAGGAAAGCGAGCACCCAGGGGCTTCCTGGCATCATAGCATTTTCTTTTGGGTGAAGTTGTTATCGTGACCAGAATGGTCCTTTAATTTGCTTAAGGGAACACTATAGTGTCAGGAATACAAACATATATTCCTGACACCATAGTTGTGAAAACGCTATTCACCCTGGCTTTATGTGATAATGGCTATGCCCCTTCCCTTTCATGACACTGTCAAAAAGGTACCAAGCATGGATGTCATTACAATTATGCCCCCCCCTGGAAAAATTCCTGCGGACGCCCATGTATGTATGTCTGTGTGTGTGTATGTCAGTATGCATGTCTGTGTGTGTGTGTATGTCAATATGTATATATGTCTGTGTGTGTATGTCAATATGTATGTCTGTGTGTATGTCAATATGTATGTCTGTTTGTATGTCAGTATGTATATATGTCTGTGTGTATTTGTCAGCATGCATGTATGTCTGTGTGTGTGTGTGTATGTCAGTATGAATATATGTCTCTGTCTGTATGTATGTATGTATATATGTCTGTGTGTATGTATGTGTCTATCTGTATGTGTGTGTATATGTCAGTATGTATATATGTCTGTATGTATGACTGTTTGTCAGTATGTATGTCTGTGTATGTGTCTGCAAGTATGTATGTCTGTGTGTGTATGTCAGTATATATATATATATGTCTGTGTGTGTGTCAGTATGTATGTCAGTATGCATGAATGTCTGTGTGTATGTGTCTATCTGTATGTGTGTGTATGTCAGTATGTATATGTCTGTCTGTATGTATGTATGTGTGTGTGTATGTCAGTATGTATTTATCTATCAGTATGTATGTCAGTATGCATGTATGTATCTGTGTATGTATATATCTATGTGTGTGTGTGTGTGTGTGTCTGTATGTATGTATATCAGTATGTATGTGTATGTATGCCATTATGTATGTATGTATGTCAGTATGTACTTATGTGTATGTATGTCAGTTTGTATGTATGTCTGTTTGTTAGTATGTATGTATGTCTGTATGTATGTGTGTGTGTCAGTATGTGAGTATGTATGTACATCAGTATGTGAGTATGTATGTACGTCAGTATGTGTGTGTATCTGTATCTGTGTCTATATGTGTGTATGTCTGTTTCAGTATTTGTGTCTGTTAGTATGTGTGTATCTTTCTGTGTGTGTGTGTGTGTGTGTGTCTGTGTCCTTTTGTGTCTGTGTGTGTGTATTCCTGTGGGCGGTTTTTTGAGACTGGGCTTGGAGGCGGGCACCGGGGGGCCTAGACCTTGAGCTGTGTTAGGGACCCCTCAATTTCTGATGGCGGCCCTGATCGCAGTTCTTCTGTAAAGTCCTAATTTCCTATGAGCAATATAAACTGTGTCCCCACAATACTATTTGGACATATTGTATTGGCTGATAGTGTCAGCTGGGTGCCAAGACGACTCAGGTAAGTGTCAGACTGTTCAAAAACTGGATTGACTACTTACTGTGAGATAGTGTCAGGGTCCATCACTACATTGGGCTTTAGAGTCTATGAAGCTTAGTCTACTAATGAGAGGGTAGTGGATGCATGGAATAGCCTTCCAGCTGCAGAGGTTAGCACAGTGAGGGAGTTTAAGCATGCGTGGGATAGGTATAAGGCTATCCTAACTATAAGATAAGGCTAGGAACTAATGAAAGTATTTAGAAAATTGGGCAGACTAGATGGGCCGAATGGTTCTTATCTGCCGTCACATTCTATGTTTCTATGTTTCTATGTTTCTACCCCTTTAAACTGGACAAGTCAGTATATCCAGCTCATTATTTAGTTAATAGAGCCTGTTACAAAGTGCTAAATAAGTTTGCTTTCTTCCTAATTAACAGGGGGAACATGTTCTGTTTGTTTCCTTTCTACAGACAATGAAAGTTATTTGATTTTGATTTAACTATCTTTTTGTCAGACATTAAGGTATTTTATATTATTTTTGGTGACAGTGTTCTAATATAAAACCTGTACAGTGATCGGATGCTTGTAATCGCTTTGATTTATGTCGCACATAACGCGTATTTCAAAGCTGTCATTATAATTGTCATTAGGTACAAAACATTGGATCAAAATGAATTGCTTCCACAAAGATAGGAGATTATTTTCCTTGTATTTAATTACAATAAACGACCAAGTGAAATAGTTTTGAGCAGTGCACTAGTTTTACATCTGTACACAATTAGCGATTCACACAAACAATGGATTTTCTCATTAAACGAAGGGCAAAGTAAACGTCAAATTCTTTTTCAATAACCGTTTTAATAGATATTTTTTAATTAATAATACATTTCTGCCTTTGATTTTATGTTTCCCAAATACCACATTTGTTTTGTGAGACTTTTATTAAAATAAGCCAGAATAAAACCTGCGTTTTTAACCTTTCACTTACTACAGAAAGATGAATAATCACATCTTTGCCTTTTTATATGATGTATATAAATTGATGGAACCAAAAGTACCCATCTTTAAATATAGCCATTATAAAAATAAAACGATTTTCAGAAAAAAGAGTTAAAGTGATGGTGCTGCTTTATGTATGATACCAACAAGCATTCTGGGTGGTATAGCCACTATAAGTGCCATGGGCACCCCCTTTGCACCATAGCTAATACTGACTGAGCACAGTTTGTTCCAGGTGGTCTGAGCAGAACCTGGTTCTTTAGTAACAGAGATTGATTCATATATTGAGGAAGAGGTATTCCTGATTAGCTTAACCTTGACAGATATTTTTAAGGTCAATATATTTTTAAACTCAGCGATTAAGAAAGAATCTTCGGGTCAGATCAGGATGGCTGGATCCAGTTAATAACCCATGGCACTCTCAGCCAATGAGTTGAGTCCTGCACTGCAGGAAAGTTACTGCTTAGGCTTAGCACTGTTAGCAGTGGAGGCAGGAGCAGTTCCCCATGTATGCCATGTAAGAAGTCAAACTGTTCTTTTAACTAATTACAATGGGGTAGAGGTACAGGCACTACTTGTTTTACCAGACTAGAGCTTCAAGTGTGTTACTTCATTAAACAATAAGTCTGAATTTTATTAAATACTCAAAGGGAATTGCAAAATAGGCAAAAAAAAGACAAGCTTTTAACCAAGTTGGAGAATTTCTAAAACGGCTATTTTACACTAACATTTTTCAATCTGATTTTCATTTCACTGCAATTTGATATGAATAAATTAGAAAGATTTCCCCATGAAAAGGCAAAAAAATAAAATAAAATCACACCACTTTCTTCTGTGGCAATAAATTACAAGTATATAACAATGATCATTTTGTTTAGTAACATTAATATATATTTATTTATTTGTAATTTTACATGGTCTTATTGAGGTTATTCACAAAACAGCAAACTGAAATGCATTGAAATCAAAATTGCATATTTAGGCAACAAATTTGGAAAATTGCACAGCTTGACTTTATTAGCATAAATTTTGCAATTCAATGTTTAGTAAATTAACCCGTCTTGCTTGAAGCGTTAGCTCTGACTCCCATTCCTAACAAGATTTGCTATAGGCTATTTCTTCTTGCGTCCAATAAACAAAGTATGCCAATGTGATATCTGACCTGCTCACGATTTATTGTAATAACCCCCATGGTGATGAATTAGGAAAACATTCTGCAACGTCAAAGGCACGATTCATAGGTAGGGACTAGGAATTTTATATTTGCGTAAGCATATTTTCCTCCATGTCGTTCAAAAGCTTCTAGGGTCTCATTTATCAGATCTCCAATGTTTTCCCTCTTTTGTTGGCTATACACAATCCCATCTCCTGTATTCACATTCAGATTCTTGAATTGGTTGAGGATGGGTAAAATATGGTTAAGAAAAGGTGTAACTTCTTCCCCCGCCCTATCAAATGATACAACCAATTGCTGAAGGAGTTTCAGTGTGTTGCGCAAAACCTGGCGATTGCGAGTACTTAGAGCATTTTTTATTGGTAGAATCAGAAGTGGAATGGCAGGAAGAATCTGTGGTCCTCCATGTTCAAGCATGTCGGAAGCTCCTTGATGAGCTAAAAATTCGTAGGGATGTTTTGTTTCGCAAAGTCCATCAAAGAATAGAGGCAGATAGTACATGTAATCCAACTGCTCAATTGCAACCTTCCAGCTTATTTTATTTCCTGTACGATCATGTTTAATGGCAATTGGAAAATCTCCTCTCTCATAGAACTTGGTAAACATTTTGGACTTAACGACTCTTTCTTTGTAGGCTCCTGATGCTGGAGGACCTCTAACAAATGAGTTTTTCATCATGGCTCGGATAGTGAAGGCGTCTGAGCAAGAAGATAACTTAGATTTATAGAGTCTGACCTTTGATGTATATCTGTCATGTTTCTCATTCTCTTCCATCTTATTCTGTCCTTAATCTCATAAATAGTTGATGTGATCAGTTGGCAGATTCACTCTCACCTGGTTGCAGGACGCCAGGTGTATCAGGTATTTGCCATTGTTGCTAGGAGACACACCAACATTCCATGACATGTCATTTTCTTTGATGCAGAGTGTGTGAATGTTATATTAAAGTATAGATGGTCAACCTTCTGCTAATTTAGGTTCCGTTTTATATAAAGGTATGGGTGAAAAGCCTTACAAATTCTACCTTAAAAATAAATGCACATATACCTGCTGACCAGTGAGCTGTTGTGATTTGGAAATGATATTAAAATGCCAAAGGTCAGTTATTATGAGGTCATCATAGCTATTAGCCTATAACTGCTTACATGTGAAGTTTGTTCTCTAAAGAGTGAGTTTAGTTGAGTTAAGTATTAGTGTGTGTGTTATCTGAGATTACATTTTCTTAAGTCAGCACAAGGCGCCATTTCACAATGTATTTAATTTGCCCCGATTCTACATTTATATTAATAATAACTTGCACGGCATGGGTACTTTATATGAAAAATTTATTACAATTTTGCACAGCAAGAAAGTTTGGATCTGCCAAATCATATATATATATATAAATGATTGTATATATAATTATATATTAATATATATGTATATATATATATATAAAAATGATGGACGTTAATCTTGCAAACTATGATTTTGCCCTACACATGCGTCATTATTTCTCACTTAAATAATAAGTACAATAAATACAAGCTACCATTATCAATAGGGCTATTTCTATATGACCGTTTTTCCTTATTTACTAACTGTGCGTCCTTCACACACATACAAACTACTCATTTAAGAATGTTCTTTGCCCATTGAAACAATATTCTAACTTGCTGTAGCCGATTAAATAACAGTTATAAAAAAAATAATCTCAGCAAATTTTACGAATTATCCTTGCTTCAATACGGGATATACAATAAACTTCCACCCATTGAACGAGGTCTGTATCCTTCACTGCTATTCTAAAACAAACTAATAAGCTGAATAGGACACCTGGCTGAGGTCACAATATGAAGAACCCTCGAAAGCTGTTTCTCTAACCTTTTGCCTGATTAATACGAAATTGAATGTGCTGCCTTATTAACTTGTGGCATGTTTTTGCTGAAATGACAATGTCTGCCTCTCACCAAAGCACCAGACAATCTTTCAGCAATCACCATGAATCTGCACTGATCTTACAGCATCAATTTTATTAATCACGGACATCTTGCCCTTCAGGTGTTGCCTTCCCAGTCCGTTTAACTGATGGAACAAACACCATGTATACAACACCCTCCTTTTACTGTTATTTATAATTCACCTTTCAAATGAATGTATTGAAATCTTGTCATTTTTTAATGTTTAAAACATAGAAATTAGACCAGCATCATGCGTTGGTGGCTGCATGGCCTGGCTGGTATATTCCACCATAATGTTTAGATGAGGAAAACAGAAAAAAATAACATTTTCAAATAATTGGGATATTTTTTTACCTCTATGGTCGGATATGCAGGAAACCTTTTTTGTATATTTATTGAGGTTTAACAGACTTGTCCACGCAGCTAACCAAGGAGATACGAATATGAGTGCCAGGCTACTTTCGTGTTTCTATTTGCTTTTGTATTTCACAATGTTGTTATAGTGCTGCTGCTGCCCAAGTCATGTCTTTCCTATTCAGGGTAAATTCGTTAGTGGAATTTGATGAGAATCCCCACTTCTGTCTCTTTACAGGTTGCCCCTTTCAGTAAGTGTCAGCATTATGACATTGGCCGGAGAGCTTACACTTTATAGCCATTATGGTGGTACGGAAAATCTCTGTTACTTAATAGAATCCATTGGGGTTTAGTGTAGTGAACATGTAATTTGTTTTTACATTTTTTTTTCTGTTTTTGATTTGGGTGGCCATAAATTGTAATGGTTCAATTACCACAATGTTTTTCCAATCTTAAAGGTACACTCTGCCCAAATGTAAAACAAACAAACACTGCTTAGTAGACATACAAATAAAGAAAATATACATGCATTTAATTATGCATTTATTCAATGGGGGGTATATGTAGAAACAACTACAGATCTCTTGTCTGCTGCTGTATCCCTTTAAAGATTGTATTGCATAATAGCAGTTGTAATTCTATAATAGTGGGTTACCCTCTATTGGGTAAGAAATATATAATCCAATAATAATGTATTTTATCTTGAACATTAAATCAACAGGTTTTACCTGGACTCAGCAGTCCACATTAATGGGAAAGGCAGCTCCTAATCTGCTTCATAAAATAAAAAAACAAGAAAAAAAAATAGTAAAACAGCCATCTCCTCTCCCCCCCCCAACTCCTTTCCCCCCCACCGCCAAGAATGCTCTTCCCCTTCTCTTGAGCTCCGTCAGTACCTTCTTCAGTGATTATAGCTGTGTAGTGTGATATAGCTTTCCCCCCAGACATTAGCCGAGACTTAATGCTGGGAGGAGACTGGTTTATTCAGGGCGAGGTACACTCAATTTATACACAGATCTCCAGCATGAGGTCTCCATACATTTCAATACAAAGATAATTGAGTCAAAGACTGGTAACTCAATTATCTCTCACTTACAGGGACCCACACAGAAAATGCCCTAAAACTTTAATATCAATATTAAATATCCCCAGGAACCCTCAAAAGTCTTATATCCCCGGATAGCCCGGATCTGAACCCCCAAGTTGTCTAAATAGCGCTCGGATCCACTATCCAGGTAAAGTTTTGACCAACCGGCCTCAAGTTTGAAGCCCAAAATAGTTCCAGGGTGAAAAAGGCCATGGCCAGAATCCGTTCGGAAGTTCCTGTGTGCATAAAAAGAATGTTATTTCTGTTTGTGCGATCCTTTTGCCCAAAAAGCGCTCTCCTGGGGTATTTGGGAATTGTGGCAACTGACATTTAATGTGGATAAGCGCAAGATAATGCATCTTGGATGTAAAAACCCAAGGGCAGAGTACAGAATGTTTGATAGAGTCCTAACCTCAACATCTGAGGAAAGGGATTTAGGGGTGATTATTTTTGATGGCTTAAAGGTAGACAGACAATGTAATAGAGCAGCAGGAAATGCTATCGGAATGCTTGTTTGTATAGGGAGCGGTATTAGCAGTAGAAAGAGGGAAGTGATCATGCCATTGTACAGAACACTGGTGAGACCTCACTTGGAGTATTGTACACAGTACTGGAGACCGTATCTTCAGAAGGATATTGATACCTTAGAGAGGGTTCAGAGAAGGGCTACTAAACTGGTTCATGGATTGCGGGATAAAACTTACCAGGAAGGTTAAAGGATCTTAACATGTATAGCTTGGAGGAAAGACGAGACAGGGGGGATATGATAGAAACATTTAAATATATAAAGGGAATCAACACAGTAAAGGAGGAGACTATATTTAAAAGAAGAAAAACTACCACAACAAGAGGACATAGTCTTAAATTAGCGGGACAAAGGTTTAAAAATAATATCAGGAAGAATTACTTTACTGAGAGGGTAGTGGATGCATGAAATAGCCTTCTAGCTGAAGTGGAAAGGAGTTTAAGCATGCGTGGGATAGGCATAAGGCTATACTAACTATACGATAAGGTCAGGGACTAATGAAAGTATTTAGAAAATTGGGCAGACTAGATGGGCCGAATGCCTCTTATCTCCCATCACATTCTATTTTTCTATGTTATTAAGCAGGCAGTGGAAGTTTAGCAGTGTTCACGGAATAGTGTGTTCGATTTGAGTTCCAGATGTTCGACGTCCAAGTACCGCTGCCTGCATTTGCAAGACAAAATGGCCGCCATCTCTTATACCATGTGCATTCACTCACATGAAATGGCGGCCACACAGGAGTAAACTTGAGTTAATAGAGTCAAAAAGGTTAACGAGCCAGGTGGTGGTCTGGATACAGTGGGGAATAAAAAGGAGAAAACAGAATTTTGTAACCAAATGACAGGAAAAAAAAATGAATGGACAGAGTATAACTAGTGACAGGGTTGGTCCGTCACAGTGATTCATTAATGAATTTCACATTCACATAGGGGAATCTCAGAATCATTTTGCTAAAACAAAAGGATTACTCAGTGGTGTCTCGCAAATGGTGTGCATCCCCAGCATTTATATTTAGATACAGGCATATATAAGACTATTTTCACCAATATTTATTTGGTAAACGTACAACAACAAAACATAATGAGACAGGTGCTTCAAATGACACTCAACACAATCAGCGTGTGATTATGTGTGTTTAGCCTTGCTCACTTTGTCCTGGATCTGCTGTGTTGTTAAGAAGAGCTTTGTACTGATAAGTTTTCATTCCCATGAATTTCCCAACCTATATATGTGTTTTTTTGTGTATTATAAATACTGAGCCCTTCAATATACTTACTATTGGCAACGGGTTCTTCAGAAGGGTTTTGGCTAAAACTATGCTTTTGGTCTACGTAGATTATCCTGGTCCTTTATCTGTTTTTTCTACTTATTTCCATCAGGTTAAATTCATTCAGGAGCCTTGTTGAATTTCGAATATAATAAACACACCTGTGTTTTATTTTTGACAGAACATACTAAATTGAAACAAACAAATGTATTTTTGCTCCCAGCATTAAGTGCAAGAAATAAACTGCTCATCGTGGCTGCCATCATCTTACGCTCTAGCGTGAAGGGCAATATTTTGGAATGTGGAATGTGTGGACATGTACATGAAACTGTCGAACGCTGCACTCACTTCTGTTTCATTTTGAATCTCAGAATTTTGCAATCAAACTTCAGCTGAAATTCTTTTAGAACTGAACGATTTAAAATAACGAAACCATGTAAATTAAAAAAAACAAAAGGCTTTTCTATATTTGAAAGAACGATGTGTGTAGCTCACTTTAAACAA